GCAACACAGCCTGCTGGAACATCCTCATTCAGCAACGATACATGCATGTCATTTGCATAATCTTAATGTGACATTGCCATCTTTTCATCATTCGGTCGTTTGTGGATTACGCCAATTCTACTTTTATTATGCTGACAGCTCTGTCCTTTTTTCCTACTGCTATTTTATTCTTGAAAAGTATAGCGACTGCACTATTTTTTGCCGATATCTATCTATTCTAAGTATACTATAGTTTGCAATGTTGAATTCCTAATTTTTCTGCACTCTTGTCTCAGTAATCTATATTATGCCTAGTTCTTCCCAACGCTCAATTGCCTCCCTGTTTTATAAGGGATGCTGTGAGCATTGCTGTACAGACAGTGTAACTAATTCTTAAGAGTTCTTGTCACTTTATTTAATTTGTTGAAGCGTACTGATTATTTCTAAGTATAAAAATTTTACCCTGTTAAACTATAAACTTAATACAATATTCATTTTTCAGTTCTAATTTAAACTACTGCTGTGGTTTAAAACAGAAATACATTAAAACTCACCAATGAATCACTCACCTGCTCACCTAATCAATACATCAGCTATCAACGTCTCCTGCTCCCCCCTCAGACCTTTCCTTCTTTTAAAAAAGAAGAAACAGCACCTCTTCCTTTACTGCACCAAATTACCCCATTCACCAAATGTGCAAGTTAAGTGTTTTGCATCTGTGTTCAACTGGATTCTGTACATTAAAAAAAACTTGTTAAAGATTTATAAAAAGAAAGAAAGTAGCTAGTTTTGGTGAAAATGGCTGGCATGGCTGTCAACGTTCAGAATAAAATCAGAATAAATCCACTAAGCACTTCTGTTCTAAACTCCGTGATCTGGCAAATGGAGTACAATCTGGCAAAGTGGAAAAATGTCCATTTAGCAGAAAGACTAGGAAAGCATATTATATCAGATTTAGAACCTGCAGATCTGAGATGCAACAACATCTGGATGCCCTGGTGCTCGAATTATAGGCTAGTATACAGGTACAGCAAGTAATCAGGAAAGCTAAAAGAATGCACTGTTTTGTCAGCAAAATTGAATTCAAGTGTAGAGAGGTTATACTTCAGTTATATAGGGCATTAGTGAGACTGCCTCTGGGGCACTGCATACAGTACTGGTCACCGTACTCGTGAATTGATATTAATGCTCTGGATGCAGTTGAGAAGGTTTCCTAGACAATGCCCAGAATGAGTTGATTGCCTGACGAGGAAAGCCCCGACAGACTAGATCTATATCCTTTAGTATAGAAGAGTCAGAGGTTACTTAATTGAAACATACAAGACCTTGTGGGGACTGTTGACCAGGTGAATGTTGAAAGGACGCTTCCTCTTGTGGGAGAATTTAAAAGTTATGGTTTAAAAATAAGTTGTTGCCAATTTAGAAGAAAAAGAGGAGGTGAGGAAACATGCTTTATCAGAGGGTTGCCTTTGAGTACCTGCCTACGGAACTGGATCATCCCCAATGGACTACAGTCTACATTTAAGCCTTTTCAATTTGGCCCCAACTGGGACGACCGCTACATTCAGAACATTGATATCCTTCAGAAGCGTTTCTCCCTGCGACTCCTGAAACACACACGCAGCAATGCGCCGGCATCTCCTGATACTACAATTAAGCCTACCCCAGCTCAGAGCCTCCCTCTCCCAGACCTGCCAAGGACCTCTCCTGTTTTTTTATTCTTTGCGGGATCCACAACCTGAACTCACAATTCTACTTGGTTTTATTGGACACTAAAAACCGAAAGTACATTAAAAACTTACTCGTGCCTGCCACCTTACCCAGGACCTTCCCCACCATGTACCCACTGCCATTGGCCATGTGGCCACCTTCACAGCACCCATGGATTACGTCACATCCGCCAGTGCCCGGTATGCCACTTCTGGTACAGCAAACACCATCGACACCGCTGCTGATGCCACCGTCGCCTCCGTTTCAGAGACCGACACCACAGACCTAGAGGACGCCGCTGCCACCAACATCCAGGATTTACTGGCCTACGCCACTCCGCCCGACACCAACCCACCCACCACCTCCACAGCCAGCAGCTCCAGAGGAGACAGTAGCACCCAGCCTTGCCGGGTCTTCACCATCCCCCCCAGACCTCCCTTTTACTGAGGACGAACGGTCAGTCCTCAGTAAAAGGACTCACCTTTATCCCCCCCAAACATCAACGAAGACAATTCATGCTTGAATGTTGAACAGTTTTTTCACCATCTTCGCCTCCACGCTTACTTCTTTAATAGTGAGCCTAACCCTCCCTTCTACTGACCCCTTCTCCTGCCTCCAACACACCCCCTCCTCCTGGAGGCCACCCCAAGGCCTCCTACCCTCCCTCAACCTATTCATCTCCAACTGCCGTCGCGATATCAATCGTCTCAACCTCTACAACCTTCTCACCCACTCCAACCTCTCCTCCACAGAACGTGCAGCCCTCCGCTCCAATCCCAAACTCACCATAAAACCCGCAGACAAGGAAGGAGCAGTTGTAGTACGGTGCACTAATCTCTACATCGCTGAGGCCAGACGCCAGCTCTCTGACACCTCCTCCCACCGCCCCCTTGATCATGACCCCACGCCCGACCACCAAAACATCATCTCCCAAGCCATCCACAACTTCTTCACTTCAGGTGACCTCCCATCCACAGCCTCCAACCTAATCGTTCCCCAACCCCGCACCGCCCGTTTCTATCTCCTTCCCAAAATCCACAAACCTGACTGCCCTGGTCGACCCATTGTGTCCACCTGCTCCTGCCCCACTGAACTCATCTCCACCTATCTCGACTCCATTTTCTCCCCCTTGGTCCAGGGACTTCCCACCTATGTCCGTGACATCACCCACGCCCTCCACCTCCTCCAAAACTTCCAATTCCCTGGTCCCCAACACCTCATCTTTACCATGGACGTCCAGTCCCTATACACTTGCATTCCCCATGCAGCCCAACCAGACCCCTCCACTGACACCCTCATCCACTTAGCTGAACTCGTCCTCAGCCTTAACAACTTCTCCTTCAATTCCTCCCACTTCCTACAGACAAAGTGAGTGGCCATGCGTACCCGCCTGAGCCCAAGCTATGCTTGCCTCTTTATAGGATACATGGAACAATCCCTCTTCCAAATCTACACTAGCCCTATCCCCCACCTCTTCCTCCGTTACATCGATGACTGTATCGGTGCCGCCTCATGCTCCCACGAGGAGCTCGAGCAGTTCATCCACTTCACTATCACCTTCCACCCCAACCTTAAAGTTCACCTGGACCATCTGATACCTCTCTCTACTTCCTGGACCCCTCTGTCTCCATCTCTGGCATCCACCTGGAAACCGATATCCATTGCAAGCCTACCTGGAATACACCTCCTCTCACCCACCTTCCTGCAAAAAGGCCATCCCCATTCCCAAACTTTTCCGCCTCCGCCACATCTGCTCCCGAGATGAGGCATTCCACTCCCAGACATCCCAGACGTCCTCGTTTTTCAAGAACCGCAACTTCCCCTCCAGTGGTCGAAAACACCCTTAACCATGTCTCTCTCATTTCCCGCAACTCATCCCTCACACGCCCTACCCACAATAACCACCAAAACAGAATCCCCCTCGTCCTCGTCCTCATGTACCACACCACCAACCTCCGGATCCAACGCATCATCCTCCGACACTTCCACCATCTGCAATCTGACCCCACTACCAAAAAGACATTTTTCCCTCCCCACCCTTATCTGCTTCCCAGAGGGACCACTCTCTCTGTGACTTCCTTGTCCGCTCCATACTTCCCACCAGCCCCACCACCCCCGACACTTTTCCCTGGAACCACAGTAAATGCTACACCTGCCCCTACACCTCCCCCCTCACCCCCATCCCAGGCCCTAAGAAGACCTTCCACATCAAACAGATGTTCTCCTGCACATCTGCTAATGTGGTATACTGTATCCGCTGTTCCCGTTGTGGCCTACTCTACATTGGGGGAAACCAAGCGGAGGCTTGGGGACCGCTTTGTGGAACACCTACGCTCGGTTCGCAACAAAACAACTGCACCTCCCAGTCGCGAACCATTTCAACTCCCCCTCCCACTCCTTGGACAACATGTCCATCCTAGGCCTCCTGCATTGCCACAATGATACCACCCGAAGTATGCAGGAACAGCATCTCCTATTTTGCTTGGGAACCCTGCAGCCCAATGGTATCAATGTGGACTTCACAAGCTTCAAAATCTCCCCTCCCCTGACCGCATCCCAAAACCAGCCCAGCTCACCCCCACCTCCCTAACCATTCCTCCCACCTCAAGCCCCACACCCATCTCCTACCCACTCGCCTCATCCCACCTCCTTGACTTGCCCGTCCTCCCCGGACCGGCCTATCCCCTCCCTAACTCCCCACCTACATTCACTTTTACTGGCTCCAACCCCACCTCTTTGACCTATCCGTCTCCTCTCCACCTATCTTCTCCTTTATCCATCTTCTATCCACCTCCCCCTCGCTCCCTATTTAGTTCAGAATCCCCTTCCGCTCACCCATTTCTGAAGAAGGGTCTCAACCCGAAACGTCAGCTTTCCTGCTCCTCTGATGCTGCTTGGCCTGCTGTGTTCATCCAGCTCTACACCTTGTTATCTCTTATTATCAGAGGGTTGAATGTTTTTGGAATTGCCTTCCTAAAATGGCAGTAGATGTAGATTTAAAATCTTTTTTAAGACAGAGGTAGACAGATAGATAGGTGAAAGACTATTAGGGATATGCAGGAGTGTAGAGTTGAGGTTAAAATCAGGTCACCTATGATCTTATTAAATGGCCTAGCAGGCCCGAAGAGCTGAATTGCCCACTCTCGTTCTTTGTTCATACTAGATGCTATCTACCTAAAGAAAGCAGTCTGGCAAATTGGGATTGGACAAGTACGCTGCACAATAGTTTCTATTCAAAAAGAAGAAAAACACACACACCTCTGGTCAACTGCGTCATAATAAAAACACAGCTGTAGTTGCTACATGCTTACCTTAACCAATCGAGTTTGGCTGATAACACAAGGCAGGCTGTACAGCTGGTGCACAAATGCTTTCAACTCATGGACGCTCAGCTTTGTCCGAGTCTTTCCACCTTCTGATTTATTTCTAAAAGTCAACAAAATAAAAGGTAATGATCACAAGCATGTTTTCAAAGTGTTTGATTTATTTGAATTTGTTTGAGAAGTTTCAGCCTTTATCCATAAACAGCAAGCTCAAAGTTTAGTACATGGGTTTCTGGAGCACATTTCTTTGCATAGTCCAGTGTTTGTCTGCAGGCTACGCTCAAGAGAATGCTGTTGATACCTGGATGTAAGAAACAGGAGCACTAAAATTATTGGTCTTAACAAATGGACAGCTGCTACAAACGGACATTAAAATCTGGCCCACTTCTCAAGATGTAAATTCTCCAAAGTTTACTGAATACCACTCCTGATAGCTAGTGAATTTCTATTTATTCCCTGGATGTCTCCCTTTCCAAGATTCTTCCCCATCTCTCAGTAGTCACAGAGAATGGGCGCAGTGCATGTAAAAGGCACCGAACATACAGACCAAACTATTCCTGTACTAGCTGCAGTACTTATAGAATCCCTATAGTGCGAAAGCAGGCCCTTCGACCCAACAAGTCCACACCGACACGCCGAACGGCATCCCACCCAGACCAATTCCCCTACCCTTTCCCTGTAACCCTGCATTTCCTATGGCTTACATCTAATCTACAGATCCCTGAACACTATGGGCAATTTAGCATGGCCAATCCACCTAGCCTGCACATCTTTGGACTGTGGGAGGAAACCAGAGCACCCAGCAGAAACCCATTCAGACATGGGGAGAATATGCAAACTCACACACAGTTGCCAGAGGGTGGAATCGGGTCCCTGGCACTATGAGGCAGCAGTGCTAACCACTGAGCCACCATGTCGCCACCCCTGCCCCACCGTGCCTCTGAATCACAACCCCACTCCAGGGTTGGAGCACAAAAATCAAGGGAACACACCAACGAAGTACTGAAAGAGTGCTGTATAGTTAGAGGTGCTAGCTTGTGGATGAGAAATTAAACAGAGACTGCACCTGCCTGTTAAACTGGATGTAAAAAAAAATCTCTTAGCATTATTTCAAAGACGACTGGGGGGATTATATCCAAATATTTTGGCTGATATTTATCCCTCGCATAACATCACAAAAATGATTATGTGCTTATTACAATATTTATGGGAGATTGCCGAGTGCAAATCAAATACATGATTCCTACATTATAAAAGTGAAAGCACTTTAAAAGTACTTGTAAAAGGCTTTGAGTCATCTGGTGGTCATGAAAAGCACCAAACAAAATGCAAGTCTGTCTTTCTTTTTGAAGCAACTACTCCAATCCCCCAACATCAAGCAGCCAGTTACAATCAACATACCGGCAGTTAAGAATGAAACAGAAGCACAAATTTTGTTGGACATTTGGCTAATTCTCTCAATCTTGCCTTTTACTTAAAAAGGGGAATTCTTAAGGACTATCCATTTTCCTTCTCACTTTGCCAAATTCAAGGGCCAGAATCTGTTCACTCTTGAACTGTATTCAGCCAAAGATACATCTTATTCAAAACAGTTACTCTTCATGAAACTGAATCCCTCCAATCCTATCAGGGAGCAAAGAAATAGAAATTTCAATATTGGTTCATCTAGCTTCAAAACACCGACTAAGGACACTGTTGGAAAAGAAAATGTAATAAACTTAAAGACACCAAGAACAACATGCAGACATTGTATCCCTACAAAGTTCAGGAATGGAGAAACCTACTAGGGACCCAAAATCAATAGGCTATGGTAAGAAAGCACTAGAACTTCTGAAACAACTTGGCTCCTGTCCTCATACTTGGCTGACCCAGATCTTAAAACTCACGCTCCAAGTGGTGGCCATCAAATTAATCAGTCATTCCAAAGCTGGCAGCCAGCTATTGTCCGATTTCACTATTATGGAGTATTTTAAAAATTTTTGAGCATCATATTCTTACAAAATGCAGTATAGGATGTTCTGGCATTCACCATGTGTACCCATGCAGCACAATGGCCTGCTCCTAAAGCTGTCTAGAGGGTATCCAACTGGAGTTGGGACATTGTTGAAATACTCCTTGGTGGAGTCCATCTTTGGCAATGGATAAGTACATGAAGTATACCAGCTAGTGGACTACCACAAAAAACTCAGTGTTCATCCTAAAGCTGTTTAGCTTGGAGTCACAGATGTCTACAGCATGGAAACAATCCTTCAGCCCAACTTGTCCATGCTGCCCAGTTTTCAAAATTAAACTGCATTTGCCTGTGTTTGGTCCATATCCTTCCATACCTATCCATCCATGTACCTTTCCAAACGTTTTTTAAAAACGACAAAATTGTACTTGCTTTCACCACGACCTCTGGCAGCCTGCTCCACACGCTCACCACCTTCTGTGGAAAAAATTGTACTTGTCTCCTCTCACCTTAAAATATACTGAAATGACCTACCAAAAACCACGTCCTCTAAAGTTCATCCATGCTACCCATCCCCATCCTTCTGCACCCTAGACGAGACGTTTAACAAAAGGCATTACAAAGCTGATGGACTACTGCTGCACATGGTGTCTCAAATAGAATCCCTCTAAACCCACAGCCATAATGCCAGTGCTAAAAAAGAACAGCATATGTACAGAGACAGCCACAACTAAAGCATGAATTCAACCCAACATAATTAGACTGACTCCAGACAGGACCCTGCCCTTTTGAAATTGCTGAAAAAAAAGGAAGCGTCATAAGTCAAAACCAGAAACAGCCTGCTAACTAAAATGACTGGATTTACCTAGGCCACTATACTGCCTGGGTTTCAACACTTGCCTGATCATATTCTGCAGCAAAAAAAAAAAAAGTGGCAAAGGTTATCTTACACACAAATCTTGTTGACACATAAATGAATGCAACAGTGTGCATCATGATTGAAACCCTTTACTGTACCTTGCTCATGGTAAGTCACACTCCCACACATCTGCCCACTGATTAAAACCCCTCAAATTGGTTGAAACCATCCCACTCCACAATAACATGTTGAGTTCACCTACACTCCTCCTTCCATCTCACACCCCGTATAGAGTAACCTCCTTAAGCTTTTATGGTCTACTTTTGGGTTGAGGAATTGGAAACACCATAAGTCACTAACAAGTTCCTTGCAACAACCCCATCTGTTGAATGGCAGGCTTTGAAACAGCATGGCTAGAGTGGCCTTTGCTAAACAGGTTGAGGACAAGCAAGGGCCCTTGCACAGGCAATATTCACTATTGGGGGCCTCAGCATAAACCAGTTGTGCATTTGTATAGCGATACAAACAATGCTACATACAATAAAAGCAAATCTTCTTGACAAACTAATAATCTTCAGCTCAGCAAATTAAGAGATTGTTTGGTTTTGGGGATCCAAGTTCACTAAAAATTGGAGGAACACATCATCAGATAACCCTAGATGGATAAGCAAAATGTCAGATATCTCAAGTGAGTAACAAAAGGGTTAAGATATCCAGTCCTTGAAGAAATACTGCCTTCATCCATTAGACATTGACTGCTTTGTCATCTTCCAAAGCACAGGTTGTCGTAATTTGCTTTATGGCCTACCTATAGAGACAGGGTGCTTAAATAATTTGTGCTGTGAACCAGCACCAAATCAAAACTTATTCTTTCATGAGACGAATGACAGTGAGAGGCACAGGAAGTGAAGTGCAAAAGAGACATGGGAAGAGAAAGAGAAGTGGGTAGAGGGGAGCGAGGATGCAAGGGAATAATGTGACCAAGAGGACAAAACACAGCAAGAAAATAGAGTAATTTTGAAAAAACAGCATTAGTTTTTCACTGCAGAGCACGAGTCTCCATTCTCCCTGATATCCCACTGCTTACCTGCTGCGCTGCTTCCTGCTGACAAGCAGCTGGGCAATAGAAGCACAAGTCTCTGCCTCTTTCACAGCTGCTCGCAGTTGCCGCAACAGATCATTTTCAGGAAATTTCTTCTCTTCTGCATCTTCCAGGAGTATTTTCAGCTGGCAGAGATCTGATCGAAAGGGAGGATAGCAATAAAGCTCTGCGTCACATCTATACTCACCAAATCAATAACTTGCAAATAAGCAAGGCAAAACAGCTTTAAGTGAGCTGAAAGAAGAGAATCAAATTTATTTCCTCTGATGGCAATGAAATAACTGCAATAGCTATTCTGTAATTAGGCGTGGGGATGAGATTTAACTTGTATTTAGACCTACAACCTCTCTCTCAATGTTGGCAAAACAACTGATCATTGACTTCAGAAAGAAAGGGGAACACATCCCGATCCACATCAACCGAGTGGAAGTTGACTGCCTCAAGTTCCTAGGAGTGACTATAACTGACAATCTGTCCTGGACATCCCACATAAATGCGACGCTCAAAGCGGCACAACAACACCTCTTCTTCCTCAGGCAGCTTAGGAAATTTGGCCTGTCGATAAAGGACCCTCACCAACTTTTACAGATGAATCACAGAAAGCATACAATCTGGGTAAATAACTGTTGCTCAGAACCATAAGAAACTACAGAAGGTGGTGTGCACAGCCCAGACCATCACGGAAGCCAACCCTCTATTCATGGACTCCACTTACACTTCTTGCTGCCACGGAAAGGCTGCCAACATCAAAGATTCCTCCCCACCCTAGTAATTGTCTCCTACAACCTCTTCCGTCAGAAAGATACAGAAGCTTGAACGCACGCACCAACAGGTTCAAGAACTTCTTCTCTACTCTTATTAGGCTGATGAATGGACTCCCTAACTTCAAATAACGTTAGAAGTCACACAACTCCAGGTTATAGCCAACAGTTTTATCTGGCATCACAGGCTTCGGAGCACTGCTACTTCGTCAGGTGAAGGGATGAGAAGCACACAGGCACAGAATTTATAGGCAGAGAGATCAAAAGATCTTACAAATGGTGTGAGCAGAGTATCATCAGACTGAATGATAAGTCTCTGCAGGTGATCAAGTATCAGACAGTGCGAGTAAAGCATCAACAGCTGAATAGCAAGTGAAGGGATAACCTATGATCCAATTAATTGAGACAGAGATAATCACAACAAATTTTTCAAGGTGTTGAGATGACATGTTCAAGAAGCTATACACCATCTGATTTTCAATTTGTTGTGATTATCTCTGTCCCAATTAATTGGATCAGAGATCAGCCCTTCACTTGCTATTCAGCTGTTGACACTTTAATCACCTGCAGAGACTGGTCATTTAGCCTGTCGATACTCTGCTCACACCATTTGAGAGATCTTTTGATCTCTCGCCTATAAATTCTGTGCCTGTGCTTCCCTCCACTTCACTTGAAGGAGCAGTGTTGCGAAAGCTTGTGATTTCAAATAAACCTGTTGGGCTATAAATCTGGTGTCATCTGATTTCTGACCTTGTCCACCCAGTCCAACACCAGCACCTCCACTTCAAATAATGTTTATCTTGCCTTGCGCACCTCCTGTGTAGTGTAACCTGTATGCCTCATTGTCTAAGCACCCTATGATCTGTATGTCCTTCATTACTGTAATCTGCCTGTACTGCTCAAAAACAAAGCTTTTCACTGTACTTGGGTGTACGTGACAACAATAAATCAAATCAATTAATCAATAGAAGAATGAGAGATCTAATTGAAGTGTACAAGATTCTAAAGTAGATGTAGAAACAGTGTTTCCTTATATGGGATAATCTGGAATGAGAGGTTGTAGTTTTAGGATGAGGGATAGCAGGCCCACAACAAAAATAAGGAGAAATTATTTCTGTCAAAAGGTTCATGATTCTGTGAAATTTACTAACCCAGAGTATGGCAAATACTGGTACATGAGTAAATTTGAAGAGATAGACAGATTTTTACTTAGTAACAGGATGAAGGGTTATGGAGAGCAGGCAGGATAGTGAAGTTGAGGCCAAGATGAGATCAGCCATGATATCAAATAGCGAGCAAGCTTGTAGGGGCTGAATTGCCTACTCCAGCTCCGAGTTCTTACAGCACAACTGTTTAGAATGCAAAAGGTGTGATTTGTTTTGCTTGTATTGAATGGTGTTTTAGACAGGCAACACAACTGATTACCTAGGCATGTGTAAATTCTGAGAAACAAGCGCTCTCCCTAAACTGGAATCAAGTGTTGAAAGGGGTTCTGATATGTTGGTTGTGGAATTCCTAGGCCTTCTACATCACTTGCCACTTATTTTCAAGTAGGCTGCACGCTGCTCCTGGCAAGCCCTATGCACTCTTCATTATACCAGGATTGATCCCTGGTTTACGTTAACAGGTCTTTCTATCTTCTCGTTATCGTCTTGCAAGAGTACAGCACCGACACCCACATCACTTGCATCAATAGCCACTTTGAATGGTTTTTCATAATTAGGCATGGCTAACACTGGGGCAGTGGATCACACCATGGCTAACACTGGGGCAGTGGGTAGTCTTCAAAATGCAACTGACACATTTTTCATACCAAAAGGCATGACTTTAAACTGCTATAGTCCATTCGGCATCACGAAAGCAGAAATTTCCTTTGTTCCTTGAGATAAAAAAGGTACCTGCCAGTATCCTCTGAATAAGTCCAACTTTGAAATACAAGTTGCTTGCTCCACCTTCTTACTACAGTCTTCCAAGCATGGAATAGGATAAATCGTTACTCTTTACTTAGAGAGTAGTAAGGGCGTGCAATGCCCTACCTGCAACAGTAGTAGACTCGCCAACTTTAAGGGCGTTTAAATGGTCATTGGATAAACACATGGATGATAATGGAATAGTATAGGTTAGATGGGCTTCAGATTGGTTTCACAGGTCGGCGCAACATCGAGGGCCAAAGGGCCTGTACTGCGCTGTAATGTTCTATGTTCTATGAATCAGATTATGTAACTTGCACTGACAATAATCTACACCATCATTGGGTACCATATGGTTTTGGTACCATTACTATAGGTGAGCCCCATTCACTGCAAGTCACTTTGATTATATTGTCTTTGAGCATGTGTTCAATCTCTTTGTACCTGTGCCAACTTAAATTAAGTCAGTAAGGATATTGCTGAATTGGAACAGCATTTCCTATATCTGCATCATAATCAAATTAGTACTTCCCAGTTTATTCTCTCATCTCTCATGTTTGTGATAACTCTTTCAGGTCATTTGGTTTTCCTCTGGAAGGTAACTCAATAATTTAACCTAATGTTTGAGAACTTCCTCATTGTTCAATAAATTGAACAATGTCCAATTCATTATCAGGTGAACTTAGTTCTTCACTGCGCTGTAACCAGTAACACATTCACCTTTTGTTTCCCTTCCCAATCCAAAAAACCTTTTGAAAATGTTCACATGACAGATATTTTTCTATCCGGCATTCTTATCAAATAATTCACCTCACTCAATTTCCTTTTGATTTGATTAGGCCTGCTAAAACTTGCCTTTAAAGGTTCACCTAACACAGAGTAGCACTCTACTAGCAAAATTACGAATTTTTGATCTTTTGTCTGCTTCCTGTTTAATCACATGCTGTGCTACTTTCAAATGCCAACTAGCCAACTCACACGCTCTATTTAATCTTTTCCTAAAATTTGACACAGTCCAAAACCATCGCAGACTCTGATTTTCTCCTTAATTAATTTCAGTCATCCTCTCACCTTGTGCCCAAAAACTACTTCAAACAGACTGAATTTGGTAGATTCATTAGGTGCAACCCTAATTGCAAAAACTACAAATGGAATTCCTTTATCCCAATGCTCCGAATAGTCTTGACTATAAGCCCTCAACATAGACTTTAAAGTTTGATACCACCATTCTAATGTTCCCTGCAATTTTGGATGGTATGCAGTGGATATGAATCGTTTTATTCCTAAGCTACCCATAACTTCCTTGAACAACATGGATGTAAAATTTGGTCTTTCATCCGATTGTATTTCTGTAGGTAGTCTGTATGGACAGGAAATAAAAATTAATCTCTCTTCTACAATCCTTTTAGCTATGATACTGCATAATGGCACGGCCTCTGGAAATCCATATGGTCAACAAATACTGATTCTCACTTTGTCTTAGGTAGGGGTCCTACACAGTTAAGATTCTTGTAAAAGGGTCCTCAAATGCAGAAATGGGTATTAAAGGTGCTGGTTTTATCACTGCCTAAGGTTTTCCAATTACCTGACATGTATGACATATCCAGCAAAATTCAACCACATCCTTATGCAGTCTAGACCAATAAAAATGTTTGTGTAAAAACCTAAAGAACTGTGGATGCTATATACCAGAAACAAAAACAAAGTGCTGGAAAAGCTCAATAGGTCTGGTAGCATCTGTAGACAGAAATCAGAGTTAATGTTTCAGGTTGAGTGACCCTTCCTCAGAAAGTTGTGAAAAGGTTTTTGTATTTTGGCTTGGCTTTTCCTTACTCTCTAATGACTTCCTACTGGTAATTCATGAGTTATCCGCAACACCTATTTCCTATAACCCACCCGTCATACAACTTGATGAACTTCAGCCCATTTCTCAAATGCCTGAATATGTGATAGGTTCCATGTCCTCTTCAAGATGTCATTTTTAAGATAATAACATTCAGGGATAACACTGACATTCTTCTTCCATATACACTTTGATACAACTGCTTTGCTTTGTCATCTTTCTGCTGTCATTCAGCTGATTTCTCTGATCTAAAAATATCCACTTTGTTTTCTACCTGTTCTTGTTTTTTCCTCAATCATTAGTTCAAACAGTTTCTGGTAACTGAACTTCAACGTCCTTATTTTTACTCCGTAATTTCTCCTCTTCCTTCACCCTGTGACTTTTTGACCTTGTTACCACAAAGTCAGGATAATCCCAGGAAATACTGCCTGTAAAACCTCAGTTGTCTGACTATTCACTAGCTTTTCAATCACAGTAGGCATCACTCCCACCCGTGATCCAGCTATATTACCAAGGATAATTGTATTTCTAGAACGAAGAATTTCTTCATTACTCCGACCATTACTTCACTTTTCACTAGACTGTGCAACCTCACTTTATATAATGGAACACTGCTCTTCTCACCATGAATTCCATATATCACTGCTTTTTTTTCATTCATTCACAGGATGAAGGCATCACTGGTTAGGCTCGCATTTATTGCTCATCCCTCACTGCCCAGAGAGAGTCAACTACAGATATGGGCCTGGAGTCAATGCAGGCCAGAACAGGTAAGGATGGCAGTTTCCTTCCCTAAACCAGATGGGTTTTTTTCCAACAATCGACAATAGATTGTGGGGTCATCATTAGACTCTTAGAGATTGTTTGTTTGTTTAAACATTGAATTCAAATTCACCTATGCATTTTTACCTCTTCCACCGCACCCCGCCGGCCCACACCCCCTCTCCCCCCCCCCCCCAGAGGTTTCCTTTTTACCGTGATAAACTGTCTTTACTATCTTCAATGAGATCTCCTTTTCCCTCACCATCTGACGATTTCACTTTTCCCAAAGCTCTATCCCACAGATTGATGTGAAGGTGCCAGTGTTGGATTGGGGTGGAAGAGATCAGAAGTCACATGACACCAGGTTATAATCCAATAGGTTTATTTGAAATTACATGCTTTCGGAGTGCTGCTCCTTCATCAGGTGAAGTGAACTCCAGGTTCAGCGCACTCCAAAAGCTTGTGATCTCAACTGAAGCTGTTAGACAACAATCTGGTGTCATGTGACTTCTGACCTCAGACTGAAATTAATGTCAGAAGCCAAACTGTGATTTATGAGACCTCGGAGTGTAGGTTCATAGTTCCTTGAAAGTAGAGTCACAGATAGACATTAGTGAAGAAGCCATTTGGTACATCTGCCTTTACTGGTCAGTGCATTGAGTATAGGAGTTGGGAGGACATGTTGCTGTTGTACAGGACATTGGTGAGGCCACTTTTGGAATACTGCGATCAGTTCTGGTCTCCATGCTACAGAAAAGATATTGTTAAACTTGAAAGGGCTCAGAAAAGATTTAGAAGAATGTTGCCAGAGTTGGAGGGTTTGAGCTATAGGGAGCTGAATAGGCTGGGGCTATTTTCCTTAAAGCATCAGAGACGGAGAGATGACCTTATAGAAGTTTATAAGATCACAAGGGCATGGATAGGATGAATAGCCAAGGTCTTTTCTCTTGGGTATGGGAGTCCAAAACTAGAGGGTCTAGGTTTAAGGTGAGGGGGCAAGATTTAAAAGGGGCCCCAAGGGGCAACTTGTTCACGCAGAGGGTGGTGCGTGTATGGAATGAACTGCCAGAAGTGGGGGAGGCTGATACAATTACAACAGTTAAAAGGCATCAGGAGGAGTATATGAAGAGGAAGGGTTCAGAGGGCTATGCGTCAAATGTTAGCAAATTGGACTAGGCTAATTTAAGATATCTGGTCAGCGTGGATGAGTTGGGCCAAACTGTCAGTTTCTGTGCTGTACACCTCTATGACTCTGTAACCCATAACCATCTGCCATTTCCACTGCTAATCTTGCAGTCTTAATGCTCTTCTCTTCCACATGAGTTCTTGCTCCATCAGGAAGTGAATTTTTGAACTCCTCCAAAATAATTGTCTAAGAGCACAATATGTTTGGTCTAATTTCAATGCCCTTATGCACCTATCAAAATTACTTTGTTTGATCCTTTCAAACTCAATGTACATTTGACCAGGATTCCTCCTTAGATTTTTGCAATCTTGCCTGTAGACTTCTGGTACAAGCTCGTATGCACCTAAGATGGCACTTTTCACGTCATTATACTCCCTGGATACCTCTTCTATAAAAGTGATGCAAATACCTCACCAGCTCTACCTATCAACTTTATTTGGATCAATAATACACACATGGTCACTGGCCATTTAATTTGTTTAGCCACTTTCTCAAAATAAAATGGAAAAGGCTTCGACATCCTTCTCATCGAACTTAGACAACTTTAGGATATATTTAAGCAGATTCCCACTAGGCTTTTTGGCTACAACGGGATTGTGCTCCACTGTCCTCATCACCACTCCTACCTTTCACCACTACCTTCACCAATTTAACTCGACTGAGTTCTTAGTTCCAATCTCAAGTTCAAAAACTTTCTTTCTCCCTTTCTTCTGCTACGTCCTTCCTTGCCTTTCCTTTTTCCTCTGCTACAGCAATTCTCTTTTTCTGCCTTTCTTCAGCTTTCAATCGTAATTCAGATTGTTTCATTTCCTTCTCATATTGAAGCCGTTTCATTTGCAATTGAATTTTAGCCATTTTCAATTATTCCAATAGCATTTCCAGAGATCGTAAATGTCAAGCTATTGCTGCAACTACTTTCCCTTTTCACACGGACAAAGGCAACCCCAACTCTAACTTGTCTGCCAATTCCAAAAGCTTCAACTTGCTCATTTTCTGTAAAACTGACTTCTTCCACTGCCAGGAAACTCTTAGTGTCTGAAAGAGCTATTATTACACTGGGCATGCTATATTTAAACCAACTGAATGCAACACCCGAAATACGAAACACCAACACTCACCACTCACAGCCTTTGAGGCCAATAATCCTAAACCCAGCCTGGAATTGGAGACTTTGATCCCAACAGGAGCCTCCAGCTTGTTATGGACCAGACCAATCAATCAACAATCAGAAAGTTACTTACAAATGGTCAACTGCCTACATTAGGAACTGACATTGCAATACCCAAAAGTCACAAGTGAAAAGCAGACGCAAATGGGTTGAAAGGATTGCTCCAGCTCCTATTCTTATGTTCCTAGAATTAGCATGTTTCTGCTCCAATCGCATACTCCAATTGAGAGTTCTGAGGGAGCCACTGGACCATTGCCAGGGCATCACAAATGTTTTCTGCACTACAGAATAAATACAGCAAACCTTTTATTAACTGGCATCTACATCAGTTGATCAAATATTCTAGATGATCAAGAAATCCACATATGCAATTTAAAAACATATACCAAGAAACAGAAACACAATGCAGGGGGTATACACATTATGGTCATACATTATTCACAGCACAAATCACTTAAATAATAATGCAACTTTGTCTGAAATAAAACTGACTGACAGAGTCTTTCTACTTACACCCTCAATGCCATTCAGCCCATCGAGTCTGCTTCGACCCTCTGAAAAGCATTCCACCCAGACCCACCCCTGCCCCTTAAACCCACACATCAAAGCCTCATAGTAGATTAGGACAGTACAATCTAAAAGTTGGCCAGAAGATGCGTGTTGTACTAGAAGATATTTTTTAAGTATTATGAATATAAAGAAATTAAATTAAAAACATACCTTTCTTGCGATTAAGCTCTGCTTCCAAGGCTTCTCTCACTTTACTCACCCAGTTGTCATATGACTGGGCTCGCTCCTTAACTCCATAAAGCATTGATGGGAGCTCATCCAGTGTGTAACGGTATCTAGTTTCAGGAAAGAGAAAACCTTCACCATTCACCAATTCCTTATTTTTCTTTCCATAATGTTGTATTGGACAGAAAAAATAGTTTCAGTACAAATCACTGCAAGAACTGCAGATGCTGGAGTCAGAAATAACGAAGTGTGGAGCTGGAAGAACACAGCAGGCCAGGCAGCATCAGAGGAACAGGACAGCTGATGTTTCAGTTCGGGACCCTTCTTCAGAAATGGAGATGGGGAGGGGAGCTCAGAAATAAATAGAGGTGGGGTAGGGCTGTGGTCAGGATTGGTCAGTGAGGTGTGAGTGGTGGATGGGTGGGAGAGAAGAGGGACACGTCTATCAGGTCAAGGAGGCAGGGATGAGAGGGAGGATTGGTCATGGGATGAGGCCACAGGTGGGGAGATTTTGAAACTGGTAAAAATCCATGTTTAGGCTATCAGGCTGTAGGCTCCAGAGGTGGAATAGGAGGTGCTGCTCCTCCAGTTTGCAGGTGATTTTTAGCTTCCCCTCCCCCTCCCTGGGTGACATATCCATCCTGGGCGACATATCCCTCCTGGGCTTCCTCCAGTGTCACAATGATGCCCCCCACAAACTGGAGGAGCAGCACCTCATATTCCATCTTGGGAGCCTTCAGTCCAAAGGTCTAAACCATCCCATCTACCTTCCCTAGTCCCACCCCTCCTCTCTGTTTATTTCTGAGCTCCCCTCCCCATTTCTGAAGAAGTGTCCCGACCCGAAGTATCAGCTTTCCTGTTCCTCTGATGCTGCCTGGCCTGCTGTGTTCCTCGAGCTCAACACTTATCTAGTTTCAGTACAAGTAGTCCATGTCTAAAGACATGTTGTCAAAACATGATCAGTTGGAAAAGTTGGTCAGAGAAATGGAAAATTGAGTTTGATCCAGACAGGCGTGAGGTGATGCATTTTGGAACGTCAAATGCGAGAGGAACATGAGTAAATGGTAGGAACCTTAGGAACACTGATACAGAGCAATCTTGGGGTACAAGTCCACAGCTCCCTGAAAGTGGAAGTACAAATGGGTAAAGTGATGAAGGTGGCATTTGACATGCTTGCCTCCAGTCAGGGCATTGACTATAAAAATTGGCAAGCCATATTGCAGCTGTATAAAACTTTAGTTAGGCCACATTTGGAGCACTGTGTGCAGTTCTGTTCCCCACATTATACAAAGGATGTGGACGCTTTGGAGAGGGTGCAAATGAAGTTTACCAGAATGTTCTGAGGAAGGGTCACTGGACCCAAAACGTTAACTCTTTTTTCCTTCACAGATGCTGCCAGACCTGCTGAGCTTTTCCAGCAACTTTGTTTTTGTTATCAATATGTTGCCTGGATTGGAGTGTATTAGCTATAAGAAGAGGTTGGACAAACTTGGATTGCTTTCACTTAAGCGCAGGAGGTTGAGGGGCTACTTGTTAGAAGCACAAAATTATGAAATGAATGGATAGGCTGAATAGTTGGAGTCTCTTTCCCAGGGTGGAAATGTCAAATACTAAGGGGTAGAGGTTTAAGATGAGAAGCAAAAAGTTTAAGGGAGATGTGCGAAGGAAGTTTTATTTCCACACAAAAGGTGATTGATGCCTGGAATGCACTTCCAGGGAAGGTGGCAGAAGCAGATAATTAGTAACTTTAAGAAGATTTAGACAGGTACAATGAACAGGTAGGGAATAGAGTAATAAGTACCATGTGCAGTAAAATGGGATCAGTTTAGAATGGCATCATGGTCAGCATGGATATAGTAGACCAAAAGGGCCTGCTCCTGTTCTATGTTCAACATTGGGAGTGCAGGAGTAGAGGGCCAGGGTGTCTCAGATGAACAGTCCCTGTGGAATGCTGACAAGTGAGAAGAGGGAAATGTGTGTCTAATGGTGGCATCCTGCTGGAGCCAGAAATGACAGCTTATGGTCCTTTGGACATGGAGGCTGAGGTGGGGGGTACACGACTGAGGGGCCTTATCATTGTTGTGCAAGAGAAGAGAAGGGGGGAGGGCAGAAGAAGAGGAATACCTTGGTTGAGGGAAAAGATGAAAACTGAAAGAATTGCAGATGCTGTAAATCAGGTTCAAAAACAGAGTTTGCTGGAAAAGGTGGTCATTTCTGACGGCCCCCATGGAAAGTGGCATCATCACAGAGGAGAACACTAGCCAAGAAAAGAACATTTTCATAACATTGGCCATACTGTCTTTGGTTATTTGTAAAGGTCCTCAACAGTTTAAAAATGTACTGATAGACAGAATAAATGGACTTACCTGAGACAGAGGTTCGTTACTGGGCACTTGCACAGATCCTTAATGTGATAAAGACACACAAGCCGATTGGGATCACAGGTACACGTAACAGCAGACAGGAAACATGTTGTTTTGCACGTCTCACACTGTCGTTCATCATCTGGTAGCAGTTCAAATGCCTCTTGTTCAGAATCAACAATACCCTAGAAATGGATAGAATTTTCAATTGAATCTGGAATAGAGAATGTTAACTTTATTCCTCTCACCTCACAAACCTAGCCTGCTAAATATTTTAGAAGTTTTTTGTTAAATTTGCTCATGGAATGGAGATGTTGTTGGCTTGGCCAGCTTTTTGTTCCATTCATACCATTTCCCTGCATTGTTTTCTCTTTCAAACGTTTATCCAATTCCCTCTGTAAAGACTAAAATGAATGTGCATCCACCATCCCATCAAGTGCATTTGAAATCCTGACCATCCATTGCTGAAAGACTGTTCCCCAGAAACGTTTGTGTCTACATGACAACACTTCATAAGCATATCGACCCTTGGACCACTGAAAAAGTTACTTCCAATTTAGCAAAGTCCTCATTCTCATGCTCTGTGCTCGAATGGGGGCCCCAGGATCAGAAAACGTGCCTAAAAAACTACGCTTTTCCTGTTGGCTGCTACAGTCCCTCCCATCTCCTTTGAACTACATTTCACACCACTTGCCTGACCCCAGGGAATCCATCATAAAGGCTCCAATAACAATTCCAGTTGGCACTGCCACTACTGAAGAACTATTGGAGGTAGGATTTTTGCTCGACTTTAGCCTTAATTCAGTGGGAAACCTCCGATAGTCCAGGCAAGGGTCTAATTATATCAAAATATTGCCAGGCTTCTGGAGAAAGGCATTGTAGATCACCCACCAGTTCTGCAACTGGCAGGCAGGCCTCACCTCATCTCAACTAAACTCCAATCATAAGGCGAGCAGGGACATGGGCAGCAAAGTTTTGGATGGCCTCAAGTTAATGGGCTATGGATTGTGGGAAGCTAGCCAGTAGTTAAAAGCAAGAGATGAGCAAATTATATGTGGTCAAAAACTTACTTGGAGCTCAGTGACATCAAGGGTGTAAAACCATTCAATTTACCTTCAGATAGTTGCCAAGACAAGGTACGGAAGACTGGACATAGTCTTACCAGACCATCAAGCTGCTCTCTCAGTAGAGCACGAGCCAACTGATGGTGGTTTAACCTCAGGAGAGGAGAGGTTGAAAAGGAAAATCCTTCATGGTAATCTCAGCCAGTGCAGGAACTGGATGTATGTTGTTGGCATCACTCTGCCTTGCAAAGCAGGCATCCAACCAACTAAACTAACTGACACCTAAAATAGGGAAGGTATAGAGTATGTGGCTAGAGAAGTGATGCTGGACTTCAACTACTTGAAATTACTTCACATCTCATCTCAAAAAAAAAAAGTGCCACAGGATACAACAAAGGCATGGTCCCTGACAACATTCAGTTGCAATATGGAGGAACTTCAGAAGTAGCTGTGAACTGAGACATAAATTGCAACACTGGCATTTTCCCAATGTTACAACACGGAGAGAGGCAGCCAAACCAAATTCAGCCTTTCTACCTCTATATTTGCGACACAGTAAAACTAACTTTCACAGACCCTCAAAATTGACACCAATGGTTCCTAACTGGTCTTTTTGAATAACCAATACAAGACTCTGCGAATAATCAATTCCAGACACCTATTTGTATGTTAACAAATTACCAACTCTTTTGTTTAATAGTATAGTAACTTTACCAGAGCAAAAATTAAGTAACATAATCCAACTGGTCTATGCATCAAGCCCAAAACCCTTTTGTTTTCAGCCCCATTCACATGAGAAAGAATGATAAACATTTAAGGGTTAAGTAGAGAAAAAAAATTGGCCAGATTACTTAACTGATTTTCATGATGCATTGTTTCACCAACAAAAGATGATGGTTTCTTATTGGATTTTCTGAAGATATCAATCAGGGTCACCCTTATAGTTCACTCAGATAAAAGGCAGCAATACTTATAAACAAACAAACGGTTGGGAGATAGTAAGAACTGGCAATGCTGGAGTCAGAGAAAACACAGGAAAGTTGACGTTTCGGGCCAGGACCCTTTTTCAGAAGTGTCTGAAGAAGGGTCCCAACCCAGAACGTCAAATTTCTTACTCCTCTAATGCTACCTGGCCTGCTGTTTTCCTCCAGCTCCACTCTGTTTTCTCTCTGAAATGGCTGGGAAAACTCAAGTCTGGCAGCATCTCTAGAAAGAAAGCAGAGTTAACATTTCAGGTCCAGTGACCCTTCCTCAGGACCAGTTCTGCTTTCTTTCCAGAGATGCTGCCAGACCTGCCAAGTTTTCCCAGCAATGTGTGCGTTTGTTTCTCATTTCCGGCATCCACAGTTCTTTGTTTTTTTTTGAGTAATACTCATTACTGTTTCCTATTCTTGGAGCTTCAAAGGACTGCTAATGGGAGGTTAGGCAGGGAGCTTTCAAATCTTCATGCTATAGCATCAACAGCCAGATTCCTTTTGACAGAAAGAACACAGTCTAAAACCTAATTCAAACTCAGATTGCTCCCTGACAGACGAACTACATCCTTGAAGAGGTCCATGTTACCAGTCAAATCTGCCATCTGCTTGAGCATAAAGTCTTTTCCAGACTTCCTGGAACTAATTTCAGGGTGGCATGTAATCATGGCTCAATTCAAAGCTATTTCTGGAGTTCCTCCATATCGCAACTTAATGTTGTCAGGACCCAATGTCTTTGTTGTATCCAGTGGCACATTTCTTAAGGTGTGAAGTGAATTCTGCTAGGACGGCACATTGGTTCAGTGGTTAGCACTGGTACCTCGCAGCGCCAGGAACCCGGGTTCAACTCCACCATTGTACAAACATCTGTGTGCAGTTTTCACATTTTCCCCATGTCTGCTTGGATTTTCTCCCACAGTCTAGAGATATGCAGGATAGGCGGACTGACCATGCTAAATTGCCCAGTGTCGAGGGATGTGTGCATCAAATGGATTAGCCGTGCGGAACAGCGTTACAGTGATAGGGTATGGGGTGGGTCTGAACGGGATGCTCTTCAGAGAATCTTTTTAGTTTGTAATAGTTTAGATGGAGCAGATTTTGTCCAGTGCATTCAGGAAGGATTCCTGACAGTACGTAGATAGACCAACATGAGGACAGGCCACTTTGGATTTGGTGCTTGGCAATGAACCGGGCCAAGTGTTAGGCCTGTTGGTAGGAGAGCATTTTGGCAGTAGCGATCATAACTGTTACTTTTACAATAGTCATGGAAAAAGATAGGTACATACAGCAGGGTAAGGTTTATAATTGGGGGAAGGGTAATTATAATTCTGTTAGGCAAGAACTGGGTAACATAAAATGGGAACAGATGCTTTCAGGGAAGAGCACTATTGAAATGTGGAGATTGTTTAAGGAATGCATACTGCGTGTGCTCGATATGTTTGTCCCTAGCAGGCAGGGAAGATGCGGTCGAGTGAGGGAGCCTTGGTTCTCAAGAGAGGTCGAACGACTGGTTAAGAGGAAGAAGGATGCTTATATAAGGTTTAGGAAACGAGGAACAGAAAAGGCTCTAGAGGGGTACAAGTTAGCCAGGAAGGAGCTGAAGAAAGGGCTTAGGAGAGCTATAAGGGGGCATGAGAAAACCTTGGCAGATAGGATCAAGGAAAACTCCAAGGCTTTTTACATGTACGTGAGGAATAAGAAAATGACCAGAGAAAGGGTAGGGCCGATCAAGGATTGGAAAGGGAATTTGTGCACGGAGCCTAAAAAAAAAAAAAGAGATAGGAGAGGTCCTCAATGAACATTTTTCTTCAGTATTCACAACTGAGAGGGACCTAATTGTAGGGAAGGACAGTGTGAAACAGGCTGGTAGGCTAGAGGAGGTCGATGTTAGTAAAGAAGATGTACTAGGAATTTTGAGGAACTTGAAGATAGATAACTCCCCCGGGCCTGATGGGATTTATCCAAGGATTCTATGGGAAGTGAGGGAAGAGATCGCAGGGCCTTTGGCAATGATCTTTTTGTCCTCACTGCCCACAAGTATAGTGCCAGAAGATTGGAGTGAGGCAAACGTCATTTCCTTGTTCAAAAAAGGGAATAGGGATAACCCCGGAAATTGCAGGCCAGTTAGTCCAAATTATTGGAAAGGGCTCTGATAGATAGGATTTATGATCACTTGGATAGGGACAGTTTGATTTGTGATAGTCAACATGGATTTGTGAGGGGTAGATCATGCCTCACAAACCTTACTGAATTCTTTGAAGAGGCGACCAAACACGTGGGAGCAGTGGATGTGGTATACATGGATTTAAGTAAGGCGTTCGATAAGGTTCCCCCTGGTAGGCTCATGCAGAAAGTAAAGCAGCATGGGATAGGGGGAAATGTGGCAGATTGGATTCAGAATTGGCTGACCCTTAGAAGACAAAGGGCGGTAGTGGATGGAAAATGTTCAACATGGTGCTCAGTTACGAGTGGTGTACCACAAGGATCTGTTCTGGGTCCTCTTCTATTTGTGATTTTTGTAAATGATTTGGATGAAAGAGTGGAAGGGTGGATTATTAAGTTCGCCGACGATACGAAGGTGGGTCGAATCGTGGATAGCGCGGAGGGCTGTTCTAGGTTACAAAGGGACGTTGACAGGATGCAGAGCTGGGCTGAGAAGCGACAGATGGAGTTTAACCCTGAAAAGCGTGAGGTGATTCATTTTGGAAGGACAAATTTGAAAGCAGAATACAGGGTTAATGGCAGGATTCTTGGCAGTGTGGAGGAGCAGAGGAATCCTGGGGTTCATGTCCACAGTTCCCTGAAAGCTGCCACCCAGGTGGCTAGAGTTGTTAAAGTGTATGGTGTGTTAGGTTTCATTAATAGAGGGATTGAGCTCAAGAGCCGTGAAGTTATGCTCCAGCCATACAAAAGCCTGGTTCGGCCACATCTGGAGTATTGTGTCCAGTTCTGGTCACCTCGTTACAGGAAAGACGCGGAAGCGTTGGAAAAGGTGCAGAGGAGATTTACCAGGATGTTGCCTGGAATGGAGGGAAGGTTGAGAGAGCTAAGGCTTTTCTCTTTAGAATGACGAAGGAGGAGAGGTGACTTGATAGAGAGGTGTACAAAATGATCAGAGGTATAGATCGAGTAGACAGCCAGAGACTT